AGACTTGACAGTCCTGCTCTAGGCTTTTTATTCACCCTGACAAATGTAACAACCTGTTTTTGTCTTTAAAGCATTTGTGTGTCTGGTGTCTCAGACACCAGAGTGGAAAGTAGCCACTCTGAGAAGGCCTTTTTTTTTTTTTTTTTTTTAATTTCAAAGTGAACTTGTGGTCTTTTTTGGGTTTTTTGATTTTTATCTTTTGGAAAAGTCGGCGCCTGCAGCTGTGTTGCACTTGAGACTTGGAATCTTTCATCCCTGACAGCAGGAGGATAAAAGGGGGCTTACCATGGTCTACTAAGGAGCCTTTCTTTAGCTTCAGGCAGCAATGGATGTAAGCAAAGGCAAAATGACCACAAGACTCTTGCTTTTTCCTGGGGCTGGGGTTGAGGAAAGGATAGAGCCCATTTTGCCCTACACTAATTAATTTATTTTGCAGACACAGCATTTGTCTGTTTCCAAGTCTGCCTCTATGCCCCATGGATGGAGTTCTGGTGGGAAAGCCCAGAGCACTTTGATTCCAGCCTCAGTCTTTGGCAGCCAAGTTCCCTTGACATCCAGGGCACTGAAAGGAAAAGTCAGTACAAGACAAATGGGCAGATGTTGAATGGTCTAAGGTAAAGTTTGAGACTAAAGCCTGCTTCACTAGTAATGAAAAAGTACCTTTTAGGTAATGCTTTTGCACCATATTTGAAGGTTAAAAGATTAGGTGGTTATTTGTTGTTTTAAGCTGGCTTTATCTTCACATATGCCCAGGAAATGAATAGTGGTAGTTTCCATTAGTAAATTTAATTTTCTTTTGAATTGATAATCAAAATAGCAGTGCTTCTCCATTTCCCTAACATATTCAGCATAGCTAACCTTCTAGATTTATTTCTGTAACAGTAGTGAATAAGGCTTTTCTGAGCTCAGGATTTTTGAGCATTTGCTGATGGTTAGACATGTTAGCTATTGTGCCACTAGGCTACAAACTAAGTTTTATCTTCTTTTCTTGACTCTTTCTTCTGTCCCCTAGTTCATTTCCTGGCATCCTGGAGGATAGCACTTTGTGAATTGGTAATTAAAAAGACAGGTTAAGCTGGGTGTGGTGGCTCATGCTTGTAATTCTAGCACTTTGGGAGGCCCAGGAGGGCAGATCACTTGAGGTCGGGAGTTTGAGACCAGCCTGGCAACCTGTCTGTACTAAAAATACAAAAATTAGCTGGGTATGGTGGTGTGTACCTGTCCAAGTAGTCCCAACTACTTGAGAGGCTGAGGCAGGAGAATCGCTTGAACCTGGGAGGTGGAGTTTGCAGTGAGCCGTGATCACAACACTACACTCCAGCCTGGGCAATAGAGCAAGACTCTGTCTCAAAAAAAAAAAAAAAAAAAAGAGAAAAAATCTGTGTTGATCTGTAGTTAGACAAGGGAAGAAGGGGCTTGACTAGAAAGTAAAGAATGCAATCAGGTTGGTGGCTAGGATAAGAGTGTTACATTGTGTCCCTTGCTTTTTTACTACGGTCTTTCTTAGTTTACTATTAGAGATACTTTTATCCTCATAAGAGATTAATTGCCCAAACAAATTATGAAAGGTCTCAGATGATTTCAATATACCTCTGATGCTTTCATTTTATTTTCAGTCAAGTTTCTTTTGGAACCAGTGGACAGAAATCCAACTTACGTTAACTTGAATGGTAAAAGAGAATTTTTGGTTCACACAACTTTGAAGTAAAGGTTTATCACAGTTTTAGGCACAGCCTGATCCAGGGGACCACGCGAAGTTATCAAGACTTGGTCTGTCTCTCACCTCTGTTTGTCTCTATGGATCTCATATTTTTGTTATAGAATATAGGCTTTCTCTGTGTAACAGGGAAGATAATGGGATAGTGTTTGATTCACATCCTTCTGACCAGTGACTCAAAATTCAAGCCCTTCCTCCATTAGCTCCAAATCTCACAATTCTTGGGTGAGGAATATGATGGAACCAATTGCATCCCACACCCGGCTCTGAGGACAGGAGGACAGGGTATTACGATCCTCAGCCCTATTAGAATTGCCTGTTTGAATATGGGGAGACATTGTTTAATTAAGTTTGGGTAGAGATTTTACAGTTAATTTTTATTTTCTTCTGCTGCTTATGAGTGTATAAAAGATCACTTTTGCATTGCTGTGGTCTGAATAAGATAGTATGTGAGTAAGTTCTAACCCCAATATCAAGATTTGATAGTTGTATCTCATAATTATCATTTTTGCATGGCATAATAAACCTCGGGGCAGGTAGGGGTAGAATCATCTTAATTTTTCATTTAAAGAAACTAATCCTCTGACAGGTTAGGAACTCAGAAGCCTTAAGAAGAGCCAAGCAAAAGAGCAAAAGCAATTGAATACACACTCTCTTTTATGTTCATTTTTGGGGGGCTTAACATTCTATGGGTAGAAATGAAATATTAAAATCTAAGTACAGTACATATTTCATAATTTACTTTGTGTATTATCAACGGCAAAAATTAAAATACAGACTGGCCTTCTCCAATTTTCTTCCTTGCTTTCCTTAGTTTTTCTAACTTCCACTTTACTCTTTTGGGAATGCGTTAAGAGTCAATCAACCAAAAAATATTTACCTTATGTAGACCTAAAAGTTCTTAAAGGCAGTAGGTTTATCTTGATTTACAGTAGGACCCACAGTAATTAACAAAGACATTCACATGTAACAAGAAATAGGGGCTTAATGAATATATAAATGAATAAGTTTAAATTAATGAGTACATGAATAAATAAGTGAAGAAAAAGAGCCATAGTCTCTTCTGATTTTCCTACTTTACCAGGCTTTCAGTATAAAAATCATACCCAGCCACAAGAGAAAAGCAATTGTTTCATCACTTTTTCTTATTTTTAGAGTTGTATTTTTCTATATTATGCCAAAAATATTGTTATAGTTATTTATTTTATTTCTAGAGTTGTATTTTGCTATATTACACCCAATGCTCTCATTTCAAGAAAAATACTGCAGCTCTTTATCTATTGCTGCATAACTAGTCACCCCAAAATTTAGTTGTTTAAAGCAACCATTTATTATCTCTTGCTATTCTGTGACTTGACTATATACTGCTGGGTGGTTCTTCCACTACATGTAGCGTTAGTTGGGGCTGCAATGATCTCAGTGTTCAACAGGCCTGAGATGCTAAGATTACTTACACACATGACTAGCTTTGGTGCCGGTTACTGAGGCTGCTGACTGGCACATCCTGGTTCTGCTCCCTGTGACCTGCTGCGTGGCTTGGGCTTCTCACTCCACAGTGGTATGGTTCCCAGAATGTTCCAAGAAGGTGATAGCAAAAGCAGCAGATCTCCTTTGTGCTAGTTTGGAAGTATCTTAGTCACTTCTACCACATTCCATTGGTCAAACCAAGTCACAGGGCAAGTCTATACTTAAGGAGAGAACAGTAGGTTTTGCCTTTCAATGAGCACAGTGACAAAGAATTTGCAGCCATCTTTCTGCTACAGTGGCATTTCTTTAGGACAAAGATATTTGTTGAATAAATTAACATACTCATGAATGAATGAAAGATATAGGACATGTCTGAATTCAATCCTAGCTCCATCATTTATTTAAAGTGTGGTCTGATCAATGTATTTAAACTTGCTGAGACTCAATTTTCTCAACTGTAAGTAGAATTGTTTTAAGGATTAAATGAGGTCACTATGTAAAGTATTTAAGTCTGATTCAGTTCTGTTGTATATACTCAAGAAATTGTTAACGATTATTGTTTTTGTTGTTATTATTAGTTGAATAGTTACAGATCTATAAAGGGCAGAAATAATCAACTGCACTCAGATATTCATTTTAAATGAAGTGTTATGCCTTTTTAAAAGTAATCAGTACTGAGATTATATGAAAGCATCTTGGTATTCCCAGGTACTTGAATTAAACTCAAATTCCTATTTTTACTGATTGATCTTTTTTCCTGCTGAGTTTAGTGATTGTTCTGTGGATAGGGTAGGCAATGCATCAGAACAATATAAAGGCTGGCATATTCAGGTCCAGGGCTGTCATATTTTATTGATGTTAGATTTGTGGAAGATACTTAGTAGAAAATGAAAAGCCTTATAGGTTTTTCACTTTTCAAAATTTGCTTTCAGTGAGTCAGAGTAAAAGATCAGAGAGATTTTAAAATAAACCTATTGAACTAATAATACGAGAACTGAAAAGTGAGCCAATCTAGTTTTCCTCCTGACTTTGAAATGGTGTTTCATTATTCACAAATAATCTTTCTGAACATTTTGATGCACTTTTATAAAAATAGGTTTTGAAATAGTACTTAAATATTCAGTTCGGGGGTCTTTCAGAAGTGAATAACAATTTTTGTCTCATCACCAACGTGTGCTCATTACAACAATTTAAAACACATTTCTCGATGTGGTTGTAATTCTTGATAGTTCAATCTGAGGTACACTTCAGATGTTTAATAGTCTTATCTTGCCACAGTTTGGTACAGGTTGAGTATCTGTTATCTTAAATGCTTGGGACCAGAGTGTTTTGGATTTCATTTTATTCAGAATTTGGAATATTTGCATATACATAATGAGATATCTCAGGGAAGGGACCCAAGTCTAAACACGAGATTCGTTTTTGTTTTATATACATCTCATGCACATAGCCTGAAGGTAATTTTGTACAATATTTTAAATAGTTTTGTGCATGGAAAGGTTTTGACAGCATTTTGACTGCAACCTGTCACATGAGGTGTGGTGTGGCATTTTCCACTTGTGTCATCATATTGTTGGCTCAAAAAGTGTTGGGTCTTGCAGCATTTGGATTTTAGATTTTCAGACTAAGGATGCTCAACCTGAAGCAAAGTTAGAACCATCATTTTGATAACTTGTTGTTATTTTATTTTTGGCTTTTTAAATTAGACAAGATTTTTGGGGTAAAGTTTCTTTAAGATACTTGCCATGTTCTTCAATCAAAAATGTGTTAAGCATATCTAGAAGAATTTAAAGCTGAATTTTAATGATTCTTTCAGGGCACAAAATAATATAAATTGAATGCCTACTGGAAGCCAGGAGAATTCAAGTTCTCAGCAACTAATACTTTAAGGTAGGTATTACTCATTAGCCTCATTTTGTAAAATAGAAACAAAGGCTCAGGGAGCTGAAAACACTTTTTCAAGGTCATATAACCAATATGGCAGAGTCAGGATTTAATGTAAGGTCTGCCTTGTTTCAAAAGGTTTTGGTCATCCACAATACAAAATACTATTTTTTAGGGTTGGTCTCATCTTAACCTGTTCTTCACGATCATTTGAATATTAATGATGAAAATTAGAAGGCACAGGAAGGGAGTTCAGTGTAAGACTAGTAAGCCCCAAGGGAAATTAATTGGAAAATTTCTAATTTACAATATTTGTACAGCCACAGAATTTTATAGAGGGGAAGCATACCTTAGAGATGATCTGTCACATCTAATCCAACCTCATTGTGCATATGGTGAGGGTGAGATGCTGATTGTTTGGGTTCCCACAGTGAAAAGGAGGTTGACTGGATTAGAAACAGGCTTTCATCTCTAGAAAAAATATTTTCCAATCACTGGAAGACCATACCCCTCTGTAATACCAATGCTTTTGAACTTCTCTCCTATGCCTATAATATCCACCATTTCATGATGGTCAGGGATATAACTAGGCACTTTGCAACAGTATCTCATTTGGCTTCCATAGCAGCTTGTTGAGATAAATAGTATAATCCCCCAAATAGTAGTGAGTGTTGGAACTGGGAAAAACTAAATAAATATTATTTGTCAATAGGTGAATTGGGGAGTCAAGCCCGAGTCTATTTGACCAAGCTGTGATGGCCCCCACGAAAAGGTTAAGTGTGGCAATCTGATTAGAAAAGAGGTTTAGGGGAGGGCACTTGAAGCTACTTGGATTGAGGAAGATCACAAGAATCCTACCAAGGTCTTAGCTTAGAATCGCCAATGACTCTTTCCCAAGCACCTGCTGCTTGGAATCTACCTCATTACATGCTGTGCTGAAACCAGATAGTCAGGATTATATCCTGTGCCTGATTTTAAGGTCTTGTTCCTTTGGATGTTGTTGATTATGATAACTCTGTTGTAAAAAAATAACGAATACATTTTAGGCTATTTGCAGAAAGGTGAGTGAATTAATTTTGAATCTGTGAGTGATAACAGTGGGTTATCAAGAAAAAAACTGGAGCAAGTCCTACTAAGCTTCTAAGGAGTAGTTCACTCATATGCTATGTTAAAATTTTTCTATTCTTATCTTTATTTCTTTACATTTCCTTTGTTCTTTACCTTGTGCTCCCGATTCTCTGTTCTCTCTCTTAACAGTAACGTTATGCAACTGCCATTTTTTTTTGTACTCATTGCTTCTTTGTATTCTCCATCCATCAATCAATAAGCCTTGGGCTTCCAGGACTCTGCTTCTTTGGATCCAAGCCTGGCCTTCCCTCTCTGTTATTTCTGGTGCATCCAACCTCTAGTTTTAACTTTGCTTGACCCTATCATGTAAAAATGACTATTTAGAACAAATCATTTTAACCTACTCAAACTATAGCATTAGCACATATTGAAAATAAGTCTGTATTAGGACAATATAAAATCATTCTGGCTTGAGTATGTCAGAATCAATAAAGTAGTAAACTCAGGACAAATGCAAGCTTTAGGAATTTTGCATCTCTCTGTATATGCATATCTGTGTATATGTATACATATTATGCTCGACTTGCTAGGTTCTAATGTTTACAGACATACTTCAGATACAATGTAGGATTCTCTTTTGCTATTCAGTATTTTATTTTGTATTGGAATAACCTATATTGTTCACTTTGGGGACTTTGAAACCGAAGTACCTAGGTTAACATCCACTATTAGCAAGTGGACTTCATGGAATGCATATTGAGTACAAACTTCATTCTTGGTTTTAGCTTGCTTTTATACTCTATTTGCCTTTTGCTTCATCTTGTTTATTTTACTTTGACATCTTTGAAATTGCTTTAAATTCCTTTTAGAATTAAATACTCTCTCTATATATATATATAAATAATAAAACATATATACATTAGAGTTAAGTATTTACACTTAACATTATTATTTATGAGCTACTTAGAGATATATTTAATTTACTTAGCTTGAAAATAGTCACTTCTTAAGCTGGGCACAGTGGCTCACACCTGTAATCCCAGCACTTAGGGAGGCTGAGGTGGTTGGATCACTTGAGGTCAGGAGTTCAAGACCAGCCTCTGCTTGGCCAACATGATGAAATTCCGTCTCTACTAAAAATACAAAAATTAGCGTGATGGTGCATGCCTGTAATCTCAGCTACTAGGGAGGCTGAGGCAGGAGAATCGCTTGAACCCAGGAGGTGGAGGTTGCAGTGAGCCAAGGTTATGCCACTGCACTCCAGCCTGGGTGATAGAACGAGACTCCATCTCAAAAAAAAAATAAAATAAATAAAAAAAAATCACTTGTCCCTAGTAAGCAGAAAGAATGTTCATTGTACTTAATCTGTTGTCTGTTTCTAGCCACAGGGGTTTGTGAAATGGGAGAAAAAAGAACAGAAAACAAGGAACAGAAAATAATCACTTTAAAATAATTTGCAAGGCTATAGACTCCATAGTATATTAATTTTTCTAAACTTGTTAACAGTTAAAATAATTTTTTTTATCTTTATCTTGAAGAGGTGGATACAATGTCTGAAAGTATTTCTAAGAAAAAATTTTAGTTTTATTTTACAAATGTAGTGGGCAGCAATGTATAAGTAATAAATGTATCATTATTTAGGAAGAAGAACTAAAAGCTATTTTTTGTTTCAACTAGAAGTTATGAAGAGTTGGATTTTCCCTGAGGAGCTAATTATTTGCTGAGATTACTATAGTAACAGATTTTACAAGGAGATCAAGATTCTGGTAAATAGCAATTAAAAATAACTATAGATGTCATTTAAATGGAGCACTGAAACCATATGAGCCTGTTCATTTTTTTAAAAGAATTGCCAAATATATAAATGATTATATTAATTTTGAAGGATTTTTTAAATTAAAAATTTTATAATTATGAAGTAACATTTGAATTTTTTCTGATTGCCTAGTTTCTTGGCCTACCGTTATAAAGGCAATAACATTTTATAATTTTCAAGTTGGCATATAAAGTTCATACTCTTTCAGAAGATGTCTTTGTAAAGCACCAAGAGTTATATTATATGGTTCATCCATAATGATCATCCATATGTTGACATCGTTGTAAAATACTACCTTTGGGAATATTCCATGGCAACATATGCTTTCATGAGGTACTTTCGTATTTTCTAGAGTATGTGTTCTGGTAGTGAACCTTCTGTTTCTTGTCCCTGTGACCAGAATCTATTCTCTCTTTTTCTGGTAAGAACCAGGTTTTTGTGCAAGAGGAAACTATTCCTCCCTTCCAATTAGTATATATAATTCGGATGGCCTTGAGTCCACCTTCTTATCACAGGGTCTGAAACCCAGGCTTGCCCAAAGAGAATACTCACATGCTTTGTCAGGGATGGGTGTATGACCCAAACCATGTTATGGTCAGTGAGCATAAGTCCTGCCATATTTTGCTGGAGCTTCGGAAAGAGATTCTTTCTCTTCGTTAGGGTTGGTAAGCTGGGAGAATGTCTGTGTCTATAACCAGACATACCCAAGGATGTTCTAGCTACTTGCACCACTATTTTACCTCATTTTGAGGTGTTATTTTACCTTATTTTGCTTACACTAGTTTGAATTGTGATGATATCATTTGCCAAAAAGGTTGGAAAATTCAGATTGAATTTTAGATAGTCCACTGTACTCTGGGTTAAAATATGTGATTTAATAACAAGATATAGTTTTACTAAGATGAAGCCCATGTTTTTTGTGAAGGAAATTATTGAAGCAATTATCAGGAAAATTCAAGGAAAAGTATTCTTAATTACATATTTTCCACCTAATTATTTGCATTTTAAAAATTTTTAGTAGAATAGTATAACTTTGACTAATATTAATCTTGAAAGGATGAAAGGAAAGGAGCAAAAGTAAAATGTCAGGAGCACTAGATTAAGAGTGAGAAAATGAATTCTGCTGGGTGGATGTAAAAGGGAATACTCAAAAAGCATGGAGTTGAGCTCTACTGGGCAACTAGCTTAAGATCCAGTGGTCTGGCTGGGCAGACATTCCAAGCCTGCTTTGGTAGGCTTCTGTTTCCTCTTCGTTCCCCTCAATATGCTCTTGTATCTTGGTGACATCTTAATATTTTTTAAATCAGTAGCATAGTTTCCTACAGACCTTTCTGTTATGAAACAGTCTTTATAGTCTCCTTTTGTGATTAGGATTTAATAATTCAGTTACAGCTGGGATTCTTCATCTCCCCTCTCTTTGCTATGTAGGATTTATGTAATTTGGAGGTTATCTGTAATGATGTCTTTGGGCATTGTGAAAACCGTGTAATGAGTCTCAGTGATAAATCTGACCTAGAGAAGTTAGAATTACCTAGGATTCTTCTGGGAATATTTTTCACTCCTAACTGGATAGTGTGCTATAGCAAACAAAGTCAATCCTCTACAAGTCAAGATGCTTAGATCTTGAAAAGAAATATCAAATCTCATCTCTTTTGTGTCTCTTGATAATGGCCCCTACTCAGCTTTTTATGGATTGTGGTTTGCTAAGGTTATAGTTGGAGGAAGAGCACAAACTGGGAGTGAATTGGGAAACATGTTACTGTGTGTGCGTGTGTGTATATATATATTTGTTAACATATATATTTGTTAACATATGTATATACACAAATACACACACACACATTTATATATGTCAATCTCTTGTTTATTATGAAGGGTTGTGATGTGACCTTGCTAACCCATATATAATAATATGAAGAAAGTCTCTTGAGTACCTGAAAACTAGATGTATCTCTTTTGTCTGTTTGTCTATGCCCACTGACTACTTGGAGGTCAAAACTACTAAGCAGTGCCTGTTATTAGTAACAGGTTCTATTCCTGTTACTAAGTAGCCTTGACCTTGAGCAAGGCACTTTCCTTATCTGGATATTTGCCACAGATATTTTAAGTTATAAATTTTTTATTCTACGGGAATCTTTTGTAGGTCATTCTAATCTTAACACCAGAAATATTTTGAGCTGAAAAGTGTAGTCATATTATTTGATATTTGAGCTGAAAAGTGGGTAGTCATATTATTTCAGTTTCTTTAGCATTTCTTTCTTGCTTAATTATCTAATGTTGTTCTCTGTATCCTTGGGGGAGCACAGCACACTACATTAACATAAATATTCTAACTAGAGAGAAAACAGTGATGAATCCATTATTCTATATGCTTATCAAGAAAGATTACTCTGAGTCAGAGCATCCTTCTGAGACATTTTGTTTATTTTTGATACAGGTTGTCCTTCATGTAACCTCCACCTTGAATTCTCTCACCTTGGTGATCTTCAAACTAGAACACTAACAGGTTCCTTTTATGTTGCCACTTGTTATAAAGATAGACGGTTTCTGACAATAACTTGTACAGATTTGGTGACATGTTTGAAAATAACATAGCATTTCCTAGAAAAGTACTGTCTTCTGGATGCATCATTGATTTTTTTCCTTCTACAATTTTGTTTCTTACCAAGTGTACTACCAGATTTCTTATCAATCTCATCAGAGATATGAGAAACGCAGTATTCCTCTGGGAATATTATTTATGTTGTGTCTTTCCAAAAATGCAACAGACATAGAGACTCTATAACTTCATACAATCTTTCAGACAGAGTTGGAATACTAAAATTGTAGAACAATTGTATATTCTAGCTATAAAACAACCACTTGTTAATTTTAACGTTAATTATCTTAATTATTAAAATAAAAAAGAGATACTTTCAAAATTTATATCAGTAAATTGGCATCGTAAAGTAGTGATTATAATGGCTTCAAGGTTATGAATGATAGCTATTTAAGGACAATTAACGAACAGAACACTTCTGTGTATTTTATGCAAGAGTTAATATTAGTTAGGATAATCTACTATCTTAGAAAGTTTAGCTTCATCTACGTTTGCTTTATACATAGAATGCTAAGGCCGAATGGGAACTTATCCAACTCTTACATTTTATAGATGATGAAACTGACCAAAGAAAGGTAAATGATTTGCCTAAAGTGCATCATTTACCTTTTTTCATCAGTTTCATCATCTATAAATGTATATAGGGTTAGAGATGAGAAAAGACCACAGATCTCCTAATAGTCACTTATTTTTTTATTTTAAAAGATTCTTTTATAAATAAAGACAAATTATTTTCATTCTTGGGGCATTTTAGAGTAGGTATCTTTGGGAGTCTCCCTTATTTAATAATACATGTTTTAGTAAAAAATTGAAAACAATAGCATTTAATTAAAAACAACAAAAGATCAGTTTGTAATTAAGTTAACATAGATACCAATCTAAGCCAAGTATTACTTTTGTTTTTTATACCCAAAGCCTATGTTTTCAAAATGTAAAGAGCCTTTGGCTCTTTTCATTTCTCTTTCCTATGCCTTCAGAAAGTTGGTCACATTTCTTCAGGTCTATAAGAGCTGACAACTATTGTAATGATTTTATTCAAGAAACCAGGGATGAATCCTAAAATGGACAGTTTATAATACACAGACATAAAAGGAATCTTCTAAAGGCATCTTTTATAGTGTTGTTCACTTATTTATATTGTGGATATGGCTAATTTAACAAGTTTTTTTTTTTTAAATTTTAGCTGTGGATTCAGTATAGTGTTTAGAATTATTTTCTGTCTTTATGCAAATATTTGTGCAGATATGTATTTGTGTAGAATCTTTATTTGTGGTAATCACAGGTAACATATGCACAAAAGTAATGTACGTATTTTAAAAAGCGCAAGCATATAGCCAGTGAATTTTCACAAAGTGAGCATGCCTATTTCAGCACTATGCAGATCAGAATAAAATGGTATCAACTCTTGACAACCTCCTAATGTGCCCTACCAGTCTTCAGCCATGCCTCTCACTTACCATGCCCAGAATCAGCTGTTCTCCTGACTTCTATAATCACTAATTAGTTTTTCCTGATTTTGACCAATACATTAATGGAACCATATATTAGGTACACTTTTATGAATGATTTTCTTCATTTAATGTTGTATTTGTGAGATCTATCCATATTGTTGCAAGTGACTGTAGCTTGTTCATTCTCATTGCTGTGTGGTATTCCATGGTATGAACACATCATAATTTATTCTATTATTGATGGGCATTATGTCATTTGGCTATATAGATAGTGCTACTCTGAACATCCTGCACATGCATCCTGCACAAATATATATATTTCTGTTTGATAAATACCTAGAAGTAAAATTATTGGGTCATAAAGTATATATGTCCAGTGTTTGTAAATACTGCTGAACAATTTTCCACATTTTTATTCCTAGCAGCAATATGAAAATTATAGTTTTTCCCCAATTTCATCAACATTTTGAATTGTTAATCCTTTAAATCTTGCCATTCTGAAGGTCTGGAGAAAAGGGAACCCTTGCATACTGTTGGTGGGAATGTAGATGGGTACAGCCATTGTGGAAACAGTATGGAGGTTCCTAAAGGAATTAATAACAGAACTACCTTATGATCCAGCAATCCTCTTCCAGGTATTTACCCAAAGGAAATGAAATCACCATCTTGTAAAGATATGTGCACTCCCAAGTTCATTGTAGCACTATTCACAATAACCAAGATATAGAAGCAACCTAAGTATCCATCAATAGATGAATGGATAAAGAATTCAGTTTTAAAAGAGGATAAGATTCTGCTATTTCCCACAACATGGACAGACCTAGAGGATGTTATGCTAAGTGAAATAAGCCAGACATGGAAAGAAAAATATGTCATACTCTCACTTATATGTGGAATCTGCTGGGTGGGTTGGGCAGCAGAGGAAGGTCAAACATATAGAGATAGAAAATAAAACAGTAGTTACAAGGGTTGGGGTTGGGAGGAGAAATGGGGAGATGTAGGTCAAAGGATGCAAAATAATAAATATGATGGATTAACAAGTCAAAAGATCCAATGTAAAACATGAGGAATATGGCTGATAATAGTGTATTATATTCAAGACTTTTGCTAAATGAGATTATAGCAGAGTAACTATGTGAGATGATGGATTTTTTTTTTTTTCGTAGTTTTGCTCTTGTCACCCAGGCTGGAGTGTGTGGTGCAGTCTCAGCTCACTGCAACCTCTGCTTCCCGGGTTAAAGTAATTCTCCTGCCTCAGCTCAGCCTCCCAAGTAGCTGAGACTACAAACACCTGACACCACACCCAGCGAATTATTGTTATTATTGTTATTTTTAAGACAGAGTCTCACTCTGTCGCCTAGGCAGGAATGTAATGGTGCAATCTTGACTCACTGCAACCTTCGCCTCCTGGGTTCAAGTGATTCTCCTGCCTCAGCCTCCCAAGTAGCTGAGACTACAGGCGCCTGCCACTACACTTGGCTAATTTTTTATATTTTTAGTAGAGACGGGGTTTTACCATGTTGATCAGGCTGGTCTTGAACTCCTGACCTCAGGTGATCCACCCAGCTCAGCCTCCCAGAGTGCTGGGATTACAGGCATGAGCCACCGTACCTAGCCGATGATGGATATGTTAATTTGTTCCACTATAGAAACCATTTTACTATATATCTTATAGCATCATGTTATGTACCTTAAATATATACAATAGTATTTATTTTATAAATATTGCCATTCTGGTAGTTACACAGCAGTGTTTTATGGTGGTATTAATTTGCATTTCTTTCAAACATTTATCAACCATTCAGAATATCCTCTTTCGGAAAGTGCTTGTTCAAGCTTTGTACCCATATTTTTTTCTATTGAGTTACCACCTTCTTATTATTATTTTGTAGGATTTTAAAATATATCTATACAAAGTATACATATACTGCAAATAACATTTTCTACTCTGTGGCTTGCCTTTTAAATATCTCTTTTGGTGAACAGAAGTGCTTAATTTTAATGTACAATTGACCCTTGAATAACATGGGGGTTTTTACCTCCATGAGGTGAAAAATACATGTTTGGCCCAGCGCGGTGGCTCACACCTGTAATCCCAACACTTTGGGAGGCTGAGGTGGGTGGATCACCTGAGGTCAGGAGTTCAAGACCAGACTGGCTAACATGGTGAAACCCCGTTTCTACTAAAAATACAAACAATTAACCAGGCATGGTGGCACGCACCTGTAATCCCAGCTACTTGAGAGGCTGAGGCAGGAGAATCACTTACACCCAGGAGGCAGAGGTTGCGGTGAGCCGAGATTGCGCCATTGCACTCCAGCCTGGGCAACGAGAGTGAAACTCCATCTCAAAAAAAAAAAAAAAAAAAAATAGTGTTTAACTTTTGACGACCCAAAAACTTATCTACGAAGAGCCGACTGTTGACTAGAAACCTTACTGATAAACAGTCGATTTACACACATTTTTTATGTTATGTATATTACATAATGTATTCTTATGATAAAGTAAGCTAGAGAAAAATGTTATTTAAAAACTCATGAGGAAGAGAGAATGCATTTTTAGTATTGTATAATATTGCTCAATATCATGAGTTTACATTGTCTGTTTACAAGATGAATTGTTTATCTGACATGGTGGGCAACTACAGCTGCAGACTTCATTCTGTGGTACATATCAAACAATTCAACATTTTATTGGAATGTCGTGACTTTTTCTCTGCTTTTTGGGAGCACTTCCAGCATCACTAGTGTCATTTCATATGGGTCCTTTTGGTGTTATTCTAGGTTTATGGTATGGCGCTAAACACAGTGAAAAATCCCTAAGAACTTTTTATTGCAATAAACAATTTACTGGAGAGAGGAGCTGCTCAAGCAGAGATGATTAGCATCACATTGTGTTTTAAGTAGATATGTGCAACACTTGAGCTCAGCAGAACAGCAACAGGAGGTAGCTACAAAATTATTACAGAAGTACAATATGTACTACAGTTAATTGTATGCATTTATGATTTAATACTGTATCTTTATGTTTGTTTACATTTCTCTCAACTGTGAATATTGCCATGTAAGTTCTTGTGTTTGTATGCCTAAGTTTTGATAATTTTAAATTTTCGTAATAGATTTGCATATATTTTATGGTATTAAATTATAAAACAGATTAGAATCTACATATATTTTGTGCATTCATGACATACATAACTGTTTCTTTGTTTCTTTTGATATTTTTGGACTATGCTACGTGGTTCCTCTGTGAGTTTTTTCAAATTGTGGCAAATCTCCAAAAAATTTTCCAATACATTTATTGAAAAACTCTGCATATAAATGTGCCTGCACAGTTCGAACCCTTGTTAGTCAAAGGTCAACTGTAGTCCAGTTCATCAATCCTTCTCATTATGGTTAGTGTCTACTGTTCTGCTTAAAAAATCTTTGTCTACTCAAGTCATAAAAATATTTTCCT